CAGTACTACATTGAGTATGGGCTCTAGAGCCGGGAAAAGAAATTGTTGTATTTGTAGAGCTTGGACCAACAGCTCTACCTGTTCTCCGCTCAGCAATACCTCGTACCAGTCCAGGTACATGACGTTTACCCCATAAGCGCTCGCTGGGTAAGCGAATACTAGGTATATCTTTGCGAGCGAGGTTGCCTGGGGTCTGACGTGCCTCTCTTGCTTGGCTGCTACCTTCTTGTCCACAGTATTACGAGTACGAGTAGACATCTACTGTAGCTGGCGAGTACGCGAGGTGGTCCGATCCAGCTAGAGAACCTTCCCCCTGTGAAAAAAGTAAATAATATATGATAATAGTAAGAATACGCTCTTCTCCCATGTTCCAGGGCCCGGGCTTGGCCCTAGTAGCTCTTCGGTCGCCCTCGTTGGGCTCTTGTGGGCTCCTGTTGGCCGTTCCGGGAGGCCGCCAATGGGTGCGCCGCTGAGGTCAAGGGTGCCCAGGGCTCTCTGGAGCTACTGCACCTGCGGGCCTTGTCACTTCTTGACGCCTCGTTCGATGTCCCTCCGAGCGGCGATAAGAAGAGCCAAAGTGGGCTGCAAGCTACAATACGCACCACCAGCACCACTCTTTCGCGCATCCGAGAAATCCGGCCACCAGTCCCCCAAGATGCGTCTAACTGATGCCAACAGTCGATGGCATGCTCCATCTCCATGGCTGCAAAAGCTTTTGCTCTGCTGACCTATTCGTCCCCGTCCTGGCGCGATGCCTGTGTGCGTGCTCGCCCTCATCCGATGACTCGCGCGGTGGCCTCCAAGACCGCCCTCAAAACTCTTTTATAGTCACCTGTGACCGCCGCATGTGGGAGGTCCTTGTATTTGCTCTCTCTCTCTTTCTCTACTGAACTCTTGCCCTCTTGTGCACTAACACCACCCTCGCCTTGGTGTTTGATCCCTCGCGCCGCGTTGCCTCGTCCCAACCAACCTCGCTGTCGTCCCCCTCACTGTCACACCCTCCTCCCCTCCCGGGTCGCATTCGGTCCTACTGCCTGCTATTGATTCCTAACCCCACCCTCACTTCCTGAACGAAACAAGCTGCCAAGTCAGGTGGGCGTCGGTGTAACAGAAGGAGCATTGGAGACCTTCCAAACAAGTGTGAGCCGGATGGGTCTGTCGAGATGGGCCATTGCAGCAGCGCTGCTCCAACTCGCCTCAGTTGTACTGGCTCATGGTCACGATGAGGAGAACCATGATATGGATATGAAGAAGCCGGAAACTCCCCAGAATGGCGGGGACGAGAACGATCCATATAGCATGCCCAGCTACGCCGGCCTGGGCCAGCACCAGAATATGATCACAGCGCATATTGTCCTGATGGTGTTAGCATGGTTTTTCATTCTTCCAATTGGTAAGTTGGCCAGGACGTAATGTGGCGAGACAAAATGTTCCTGACCGGAGTAGGCGCCATTTTCAGCATTGCTCGATCGAAACTCGCTCTTCCAGTCCAATTTCTCTTCCTGATCGTCAACGGCTTTGGGCTGCTGTTTGGGATTGTGTACAACGTCAACACTCCGGATTTGTATGTGCACAATGCCCACCACAGAATTGGCTGGATCGCTACCTGGATCATGACCGCACAGGTCATTGCGAGCCTGTTGTTCGCCTATTCGCGGAGAGGCAAGCAATCCTCAGCTCCAGCCGGCGAGAGGGCGGCGTTTCTCCCGGTTTCTGTTGAGAATATAGCCCAGCATAACAGGCGGCCACCTTACAGTTCCTACCGCTGGTCTGGCGACAGCGGCCAAGGCACTGATACTTCCTCGACACTGCACAGCCGGGACGGGTCTCCCACGGTTGTGGGCCGACGAGATACGTTCGATGATTTCGAGAAACCCGAACCTCTCCCAGAATCGGAAGACGACGATGACCTGCAGTTGCCGCAGCAGCCTAGCGAGAAGTCTCGCTGGTTGCGCATCAGCTTCATCGATAAGTACCTGTCCGCTCGGATCCCGAATCTGGTCTCATCTCAGATTTTGCGAGTGGTCGAGATTGTGTACAATGTGGTCGACAGATTGATTCTGGTCCTTGGTTTCATCACTTTGATAACCGGCTTCATCACATACTGTGGTCTTTTCGTGAGTATTTCCCTAACTGCGCCCCTCCCACTGTGGGGCGCAGTCAGCAATTCAGGAGCCCACGCAGAGACTGACCTTGTCTGAACAGAGAGCAAACAATGTTTTCACGGGTCTCGCGCATTTTATCAAGGGAGGAATTTTCTTCTGGTACGGATTGCTCACCCTTGGACGATGGATGGGTTGCTTTGCCGATCTGGGCTGGGCTTGGAATCTTAAGCCGACCCGCAGCGAAGTCGGCCAATGGAAGTCGAAAATCCCTTCGGCTGAATTCACAGAATCCTTTGTCATTTGGTTGTATGGTGCGACCAATGTCTTCCTGGAGCATCTTGCTGCTTGGGGTGGCGAGTGGACGGCACAGGACTTTGAACATGTCTCGATCGCCATAATGTTCTTTGGAGGTGGATTGGTGAGCTGCTTTAGTCTCTTGTTTCCCTTGGAATCCCTCGGCTAACGCAGTTTCCTAGTGCGGTATGCTTGTCGAGTCCAGCATCGTGCGACGTTGTCTCAACACCGTCGTCGAAAACATGCCCGCCCGAACAGAGGTTCATCCCAGCGAAGCACTGGAACTGCGCGATACCCCGAAACAGTACACTACTTCTCTCAACCCTATGCCCGGCTTGGTCATTATCCTCCTGGGGATCATGATGTCCTCGCATCACCAGGACTCCATGGTGTCTACCAAGGTACACTCACAATGGGGCACACTCCTGGTCGGCTTCGGTGTCGCTCGGATTTGCACGTACCTGATCATGTTCCTCTCTCCACCAAAGTCGGTCTATCCCACCCGGCCGCCAACCGAACTGGTCGCATCCTTCTGCTTGATCAGTGGCGGGATCATCTTCATGGCCAGTGCCCGCGACATCATCCACTATATGGAGACGACAGGTCTCATGGCCATGTTTGTTCTCACTGTTACGTGTGGGTTCACGGCGTTCGTCATGGCATATGAGATCATCGTGCTTTGCCTCAAGGGCTGGGCCATGAGGAGAGAAAACAAGGGCTCGGCTCCCAGATTTTGAAGACTTAACCGTGTTCTGTGCAGTGGTTTTCTGGTTTGACTGTGTCAATCGAAGCCCTGCAAGTAATAGTCAAAAGCCCTCATTCCCAATCAACCAACAACTCGCATGACTTGAAGGAGTTCTCAGGACCTCGAATCAAGCACCACCCCAGACCTACCGATGCTTTTACGTTTATACAGCTTCTTACGATCTTTACCTTGCTGGACGGCTCTTCGCACCAAGCATAGTTTTGCGGAAGACGATACCCTGCTATAATGATGATTTTACGACACGTCCCGAGTTTTGGAGAGACCTAATGAGGACGCGGAAGGAAGAAAAACCCCGATGGAGGAGGTTTATCGTTATTGTCATCTGCTTTCAAAAACGCACGATACCCCCTGTTACAGACGCCGCACGCGCCGGTCACGTTCTGCGTCCATCAGCACTGCCACAGGCGTCCGCGCATCCAGTGATACCCCCCCGAATCCATAGAGTAACCGCAGCTAGGGATATAACTAGCTAGCTGGTTTTTTGTTTATAGTTGCAGTGGAAAACACTGCCTGACTGCTTCGACCCGGATCCGGGCAAGCTAATAATCAGAGAAGACGATTCATAGCTAGAGTTCTATCTCTCCTCTCTCGTGACATTTTCCTTGCAGCCGCTTTTTCAAAATGCATGATCCAGTCCAGAGGCTGCCTTGACCTAGTGGAAACTGGCTTCGTGGAGGAGTATCGCCTTTGAGAAATCTCAGACGAGGAAATGTTGAAGAAAAACAGATACCTTTGTGCTTGTTCACAATTCAATGGGGGATCTCACTGCTAATTGTGAGTCGATGCTCCGAGCTGTGGCATGTCGACACAGGCTGTCTGTGGTCTAGCATCAGCGAGGAAATCCATAAGATAGATGACCGAGTCGGGAAAATGGCAATATGGATCGAGTTCGCCATGCGCAAGGCTTCAAATAAAGCCGAAGGTAGACCAGGTCATGCTGCACAGGAGAATAAGGTCACTCAATCACGCCTGGAAATTGTCGAGGGATCAGGTCCAAAGCACCTTTCCAGAGTCTGCACGGTCGATGCTTGTGTGGTGCGAGAGACGGAGACAGGGTCGGGATTGTGACATGGTATGAGCATCGTCATTCGACATAATGGGCATTATCATTTCAAGTGTTCATTTCCATGCAAGCCAGAAAGACACCCTTCCAGTGTGGTCACAGGAGAAGCTGCGTCTGAGGCGGACACGCAGTGGCGCCGTGTCGATGAAGTGAACCATCGGCTAGAAACCAGATTCACTGCATGTACCACGCGTAGATTGATCTGCCGCATCTTGGGCATGACCCGTATACCTCGACAAGCAATAACTGGCTGGCTCTTTTCAATCGTTGTGTATAACACGGCGCTCATCGCGTGTATGACGGCGACGCGGTTGGCCGCAGGACACAGACAAACTCTCTCGTTCTTTCATCCCCAACATCTGTTCTCTCGAAGTGATGGACAAGAGCCATTGCACGCAGGAACATTTTAAGATGAGGCTTAAAGGAAAGAAAAGGCTAGGGAGAGTGGAAGCAATGGGAGCCATGGCAACTAATTTCAGTGGGATCGACAGGCAATTTCTCCGCAGCGTGCAATATTAGGCTCTAGCCTCCAGCACGGATTCGTCAATGATTCTTCAGGCACGAGACACTACATTTCTAGTCTTACAGTCAATTGTGTTCCCCGGATTATGGCGTACAGCCACTTGAACTACACTTCCACGCCTTGAAACCCTGAGGTTCGTATGTTCTCGACGAGCTGCCATTCCCTTCATCGAGTCTAACCTCAGACAGGCATTGAAGTGCCCGCTGGAGCCGCTGCCCACACCAACATCTCCCTGTGCCTCGCGCCAGAATGGCAGTACCTCGAGTGGTGCCTCGAATAACGACCAACAGCCTCCCTCTACCCACCCGATTAATCCAGCCGTCACGTATACGATCCTACGTTCTACGTCTCCCTCTCTTTACCCGCCTCATCCTAGTCGCTATTGTGGCGTTCTGGATACTCGAACTGCAAACCGTCTGGAGCGTGATAAAATGGGGTTCACTGGAACCCAAAGAAATCAATCTGGGGAGCATGTACAGGCTGAACACCTTTGTCTTGATACACACGGGGTTCTGGCACATGTTGATTAATACCATCTGCCTGATGCCTCTGCTCGAGAGGTTTGAAGCTGAATTTGGCACGCTGAACAGCATTGCGTTATTCATGGGTCGTAAGTATCATATGCTTTCTTTGAAAGAACATGCGGCTCGGATGGCTCGGATTCCATGGGGGAGTGGCTGCTTATTCTTATCACAGCGCTGGGCCAGATACCTGCGGTTTTATATTTGATAATGGACGGCGTTATCCTCAGAGACAATACGCCAGTTCTCGGATCAAGGTATGGACAGCTATGCTGCCCGACACAGAAGACAGGCTGACACGAACACGTAGTATATGGGTGTTCCTTCTTCTTGCGGCCGAGGCCATCAAAACATATCGGGCAAATCCATATCTTGAGTAGGTCTTCGTCTGATTCCCCCTCTACGCCGAGGAAGGCACCGAGCATCCCTACAAGCTACTGACAACTGAACAGGATCGGAGACCAAAAGATACCAACTTGGATATCACCACTAGTGATACTGGTCGTGACATCTATCCTGATTCCCAGCGCTTCCTTCCTTGGACATCTCAGTGGATGTATAACGGGATATCTGTGTACGTGGCCATGCTCTTCACTCGAATCCCTGTTTGCTACATTGAGCCACCTGAGACTAATTACCATCTAAATAGGGGGCTTGGGCTATATTCGTTTCCTCGCACCCCCGGAGAAAGTCCTTCGCTGGATCGAAGGCAAACTCAATCTACTTGGACGATTACCGCACTATGTGTCTGTGGACCAGAAGACTTATGGTCGATATGGCGTTCTCCCCACAAGTTCAACCAGCGGACCAGATGGCCATATGAGCCCTATCGGACTCGGTTGGATGGGTACCAGCAGCGAAGGGCAGAGGCTGGGGCCATAACCCTCTACCAGCCCTTCTGACGATTTCGACTTTGGGAAATTTGTGTTAGAGAAGCACGGTACCTTGGACAGTTGGATCGAGCTCAAATTGGATAAACGGAGCGTCATGTCTGTGGACAGGTTGCCCGGTGTACTAGTAGCCAGATTTGTAAATGGTTTAATGAAGACAAATACATGAGACTTTTAAAGACCACTTCCCTGTACAGCCTGCGTCAGCGGAGGCGCGAGACGCGCATAATTGGCGGCTAATCTTCGGCGTCGTAGGAACTGTCCAGATCTCCTTGAACACATTCACATCGCCCCTCGACATTGTGAGTACAAAGGCCTTGCCGTGAAGCCATCAATGAGCTGAGCAAGGTCGAGATGGGCCTAATACGTAAGTGCATCATTGACTATTCAAAAAGCTTCTAATACGACTGATTTGCTAAAGGAGTGGCTTGACAGGAAACCTCGCCTCAAGTCTCCGCAAGGACGACCCCCGACTGCTGCGAATCCCACCGTATTTGTCCCTGCTGTGCATGATCGTCGGCATTGCATGGATCCTGCCCTTGCCTTTACAGGAGTACTCTCGACAGACATACATCTCAGAAAATGCCCTCCTTCCTGGCCAGGTCCACACTTACTTCGGCGGTAGCGAACAAAATGTTTTCCGCGCATATCGACACGAGTTGGCTACGGTTCTGGAGGGTGGTGTGAAGGCTGCTGGCAACGAGACCTTGGACAAATCAGAGCAGAGAGCTTGGGAGGCTCGTACCAGTGAAAAGATAGGAGAGCTCTTCCGAAACGCGGGCCTGAAGACTGCAAAGCAACGGTATTCTTATACGTCGTCTGGCCAGTCTTACAACGGAGAGAATGTCTATGCCGTTCTGCACGCGCCGCGCGGTGATGGAACCGAAGCAATTGTGCTTGTTGCACCGCTCCGAAACATCGATGGTGTCCCCAACGTGAATGGTGTGCCGCTGTTGATTTCTCTGTCGCGGTATTTCAAACGATGGTCACTGTGGTCCAAGGACATCATATTCCTGGTCACACCGGACAGTACCGCAGGGCCTCAAGCCTGGATCGATGCGTATCATTCTACCCATGATCCATGCAACGTGGAAGACCTGTCGCTAAAGTCTGGCGCACTTCAGGCTGCTGTCTGTATCGACTATCCTTTCGAACATCGCTTCGAGACCCTTCATATTGCATACGACGGCATTAACGGCGCTCTACCCAACCTCGATCTTTTCAATACCGCCGTATCTATCGCATCGGGGCAGATGGGAATTGGAACCTCTATACAATTTCAACACGCCTACAGCAATCATGAGCAGTACAACTCGTACCCTGTCCGCCTCCAAACTCTCGTCCGCGGAATGTCAACACAGGCCCTCGGCCATGCAACTGGTCCCCATTCTACTTTTATGACGTATCATATTGATGCTATCACCTTGACAGCGACGAATGAGGGCTGGCAGGACGAGATGGCGTTTGGGAGGACCATCGAAAGCATCTGCCGGAGTCTCAACAATCTACTTGAGAAACTGCACCAGAGCTTCTTCTTCTACTTGCTGATGCAGTCAAATCGATTCGTGAGCATCGGAACGTATTTGCCAGGTGCGATGATAATGGCGGCCGCTTATACGATTATGGCAATCTACCTTTGGGTATTGAGTGGCTATCAAGTTGCTGAGAAAGAAGCAGAGCCGGTGGCCGGCAAGTTGGAAAATGGGACAACAGAGAAGACCGGTGTTTCGGAACCACGAGTATCAGCGGCGAAGGGGTCCCAGCCCAAAATCGAATTCAAACCAGTCGACCGACAACTCGTCCTACCAATCGCCCTCCTCACAGCGATACACCTGGCGTCTCTTCTCCCACTATACCTCCTTACTTCGCTGAGCCTCAAAGCCATACCCTCAACATTTTTTCTCATGACGGTTGCTCTGGTTGTGCTCCCTATCGTTCTAGCATCAGCGCTTGCTGAAATGCCCAACAACACCACCTTACCTGCCTTTTCCGCGCCTACCAACGAGCAGTACGTTCTTACCAAATCACTAAGCCTTTTATTGCTTGGATTGTCTTTGACGGTCCTCGCAACCCTGAACTTCAGCCTCAGCATGTTTCTGGGTATTGTTTGCATCCCACTGGCCTTTGTGGACAGAACTCGCTCCAGGGCAGGACCGTCACTTTTCCAGTATTTGATACTTGTTGTCATGAGTCCTATGGGACTGGCAATCGGATTGAGCGCATATGGTGTCTTTGTGCTGGGACGAGATGATGTTCTTGTCGAGTGGGTACAGCGGCTCGCCCTGGGTTGGAACATCTGGGGCAGTTGGGGGGTCCCTGTGGGTGTTTTGTGTATTTGGTTGCCTGCATGGATTGTGGGTGCGACTTTGGTGGCCAGCTCTTGGTTTACAACGACAGAGACGACACAAAGTCCGCCAGACGTCAAGAAGGTGTCATCAAAATAAGCGTCTTGACTGAGCAAGCAACCCTCAGGACAGGAAAAATCCGGGCGAAAATGAAAATGATCTTGAGTCGTAGGAACTCGATTCATTGAGCGACAAGATTGCTACGTCTCGACATCTGAAAAACTGCATTGCCCAACTCTGCTGCACGAGATCGGAAGTTTCCAGATCATAGATGCAAGAAGCTGGACGCATCTCGAAAGTGGTCATTCTCGAGGGTGATCTCTCGTGATACAGTCTCCAAGCGGGCCAGGCTGCAGCTGATTCCACCTCATCTCTAAGAGTCTGGCGTCAGTAAGTCTCGGTGCCTTTTAGCACTGAGGCTTGTATTCTCGTATGAATCGAGCTGGCGCAAGGCTGGAATTTATCAATCCACCAATCGGTTGAGCTGGTCACAATGGCATCCTGAGTGTCAGGATTTCCTGACTAGTTTCCTAATCAGGTACGCCGATATGATCATCTATTGCCGCGGGAGTCCAAAAACGGTGTTTTGGAAAACACCTCCTCTTTGCTACGGGGTATAGGCGAATTGTAGCGACACGGTCTCCAGCACCATTTACTTTGGTCCTTGGGGTCGAGCCGTGCGAGCTCAAGCATTTGACAAGTCGACATCGTGCAGAATCTAGAGGCGTACTCGTATGTATACAAGTATACTCTATTTTGTGAATCACTGCTTTTTATACCAATCCTGTCTCTTTGCTTGTCAATAGTAATATCTTCCCAAACCCGAAGCCTCCTTCGGACAGGAATCGTCCCTCCCCTCCCCTCTCTTTCGTTCCCGCACGACCTTCCTCCTCACTGCACCGCGACACTACGAGTAGCAGAGCGGACGCAATGTCATCGGATAAATCGCCTACTGCCGAGAAAGTCGACCATGGTCGCTGCCTCTGCGGAGCCGTGACGTTCACGGTCGTGGGCGAGCCGATCTACAATGTCGTGTGTCACTGCGAGAATTGCAGGTGCGTGGGTTCATCTCGCTTGGTCTTGGACTTCGTTCTTCTTTCTTCGTGAGGCAGTCCCGGGAATCTGGCACGTTGGTTCCTGTGGGTCCAGGATAGGGGACGGTTGTGGTGGTTGGTCAGTATGAGAGTATGAGATAGGGAAAGACGCAACGAAGATGTGGGAAAGAAGTCGAATATTGATCAACCATCCAGGGAGAAGGAGAAATTGACGTCCTCATTCCGGAATACGTGAGAGAAGTAGGTGAACAAAGCTGACCCTCGGTGCGAAATAGACGACAGGGTGGAAGCACATTACACTGTGCAAGTATCTTTCCGAAGAAGGTGAGTCTCCTTACGCCTCCCACCGTCCACCTTTTCCCCCAGCCGCCCATGAATGTCAAGGCTGCCCTATATCCCGTGGATCCACCTCCAAACCCACCCCTCCACACACGCGCGCATATATATGTCGCATACATTTTCTAATCACCCCTTGCTCGCTTACCCGCTGGTAGCAATACACCCTGCACACCGGCTCCGAGCACATCACCACGTACGCCGACCACGCGACGCAGTCGGGCCTCCCGCTCTCGCGCGCCTTCTGCAAAATCTGCGGCTCCAAGGTCTACTCCCTGACGCCGCTCAACGACGACATCGTCTCCCTGCCCGCGGGCGTGCTGGACGGCGTCACCACCAACTGGGTGCCCCATAAGGAGCAGTTCTGCGACGTGCGCTGCGCGTGGGTCCCCGAGGACTTGGGCGGCGAGGGCGTGCGGGAGAGGTTCAAGAAGGGGCCGATGGGGGAGAGGGTCGAGGCGGGACCTGGTAAATTGTAAGCGAGGGCCGCGTTTTGGGGGATGGGATGGTGATGAGGACGGGGACAGGATAAGGAGATTGAGGTCTCTGAGGATGTACATATGTATATTGGTGAAATACGAGGCCGTCGGCTTCTGTCGGAGGGTATCTAAAATGGAGGTACTCAAGGAGGAGTGTTGGGGGTAGAAGTGCACATGTAGTCAAGATATAACCCGTTATGGAGCATATGGCCGGCCTGCCTCGAACAGGTCGCTGTACATTAATGGCTCGAACATAAAACAATCGTTAGTGTGTACATACACGGCCACCTTCCCCAGGTGAATGTTGTGTCCTACGTACTTGTAATCCGCGGTCTAGTCAACATGTTCGGGCTGTACGCATCGACTCGATGACAAACTTTAGATATGTATCAGAATCACACCTCAGACATAGATACCTAGCATGGATCAAATGCCAATATATCCCAGAGCATGTTCAGGGCAACTCCAGGACGGGCAATCACAGCTTACTGCCTCCTTTGGCATTCTGTTTCTGTATCTCTCGGTTCTTCTCCGCCATCTTCAACAGGGCATATAAACTCTGCATCCGCGGCATCTCGTACCCTTTCTCCCGCGCGAGCCGGATCGGGTTTCCCAGGATGACCTCCAGCTCCATGAGCTTGCCCGCTTCCCAGTCGAGCAGCATGCTCGGTTTGCTCCCGCTCGTGTTCCTGCGCGTCGACCGAAGGATCTGTTCGGCGGTGGCGAACCCCGCGGGGAACGGCTTGCCGACGACCTTGGGCGCGGTCGTGAGCACCTCGTCCATCACCCCCTGCAGATGCCTCGATAGCTCGGGGTCATTGGACATGGCTTCATTGGTCGAGCCGCCCGACAGCACCGCCGAGGGATTCATGGATGCGTTGATGGCGATTTTGTGCCACCGGACCAGCTGGAGTTTTTCGTGCGTGTCGGCAATAGCATCCTTGATGCCTCCCTTAAGTAGCAGGTCGACAAAAGTTTGGTTCTGAGCCGTCGCGTTCGCCGTGACCGCGGCTGAGGGTTTCGACTCCGAAAAGTACGGGCCCACGTTTATCCGTGTCCAGCGGTTGTGTTTGATGTGGCCGTTGGAAGGCTGTGCGCAAGAAGCAATCGTCACGGCACTGAGGATAGTGGACTGAGGAAAACGTTCCACGTAGGGCTGCTCTACACCCAGACCGTTCTGGATCAATACAATCGCCGTGTTGGCACTGACCAGGCCTTCCAATAGTTTCGAGTCGTCCGACACGTTGGGCAATGCCTTGGTGCTGACCACGACAAAGTCCCAGTTGACGCCGCTTCTACGGGCTGAATCAGGAGAGTTAAATGTCCGGGTCGGCGTCCATGTATAGTCTCCATACTGAGGAGACGTTATCTTGAAGCCATTGGCCTTGACAGCAGAGTAGTTTGAACGACAGACGACCGAGACATTGGTGTTGGCGATTCGAGCCACTCGGGATGCATAGAATGCCCCAATGGCGCCAGCGCCAAAAAACAAGACCTCGAGGGGCATCTTTGTGGAGGAGAGCAGGGAAGGGGAGGTTGAAGAGAGAGGCAATAGAAGTCTCACGCGGATATACGTAAGGTGATATACGCTTAAGATTGAGGTTGAGCATTGATGCCGAGGAAGGTCGCCGCCTCAATGATTTGCCGGAGTCATTGGAGACCGACAGCCACCAAAGCACCGCCTCATCACCAGCCACACACACTAGCCACTAGTAGCCACTCGCAGCCACATGTTGGCGCCACGTCAACGCTCTCCGCCCCAAGTCACCATCGTCCACTGTGCCATGATCCTATCCGCGTCAGCTTCTCAGGCAGACGAATTTGAAACAGCAGCTGAATATCCAGCTTCCATGTCACCAAGTGACCCTGGTGCACACTTCTGGGTGAGATTGTGACTTGCTCATATAAAGCCTGCTTCTCAACAAGGGCATGCTCCTGTTTCTTTCTTGCCTTTGCCTCGTCCTCCTGTCTCCGTATCTATCCTTGACTCAGTTCATCCCGCAACTTGACCTAGACCAGCCTTACCACACAATGGGTGGCGGACACGGCATTCGCTCAGTCGTCTACTACGTGAACTGGGCACCTTATGCACGCAACCATCACCCTCAAGACCTCCCTGCCGAGAATCTTACTCACGTCCTCTATTCCTTTGCCAACGTCAAACCTGACAGTGGAGAGGTTTATTTGACAGATCCATGGTCTGACACTGACAAGCACTACGATGGCGACAGCTGGAACGACTCGGGGACGAACGTGTACGGGTGCGTGAAGCAGCTGTTCCTCTTGAAGAAGAGAAACCGCAACCTCAAAGTGCTATTGAGTATTGGCGGCTGGACCTATTCCTCAAACTTTGCACAGCCAGCCAGCACATCAGCCGGCAGAAGAAAGTTTGCGGAGACGGCCGTCAAATTGCTGGAAGACCTTGGATTCGACGGCATCGACATCGACTGGGAATACCCCAAGAATGAAAGTGAGGCGGAGGACTACGTCAAGCTGCTTCAGGAGACCCGCCAGGCCCTCGACGCAGCAGCTTCCAAGCGTCACCATACCAGGTTTTACCTGACTGTCGCCTGCCCTGCTGGTCCCTCCAACTTTGAGAAGTTGAAGATTGCCGAGATGGACCGCCTGCTCGACTTTTGGAACCTGATGGCATATGACTATGCCGGCTCGTGGGATCAGCGAGCGGGACACCAAGCAAATCTATTCCCTTCCCAGTCCCACCCTCAGTGTACGCCATTTAGCACGGTGGCTGCCATTGAACATTACACTAGGCACGGAGTACATCCGTCCAAGATTGTCTTGGGAATGCCCCTGTATGGCCGAACCTTCATGTCGACCTCTGGACCCGGACATTCGTACAATGGGGTGGGAGAAGGAAGCTGGGAGCAGGGTGTCTGGGATTACAAAGCACTCCCGAAGCCAGATAGCACCGAGCACCACGATCGCGAAATTGGAGCCAGCTGGAGTTACTGCCCTTCTTCGAATACCATGATCAGCTATGATACACCTGACGTGGTGGCTCAGAAAGCAAACTTTGTCCGGGACTATGGCCTAGGAGGTGGCATGTGGTGGGAAAGTTCAGCCGACAAGGCGGCTGGGCAGGGCAGCCTGATCGAGACGTTTCTGGTGCAGAGTGGTGGGCCAAGTCGACTGGAAGAGGTTAAGAACTGCTTGGAATACCCCGAGAGCAAATACGACAACCTGCGGAACAAGTTTGAATGAGGTCAAA